TTACCTTAACGTAGGAACCTGAGTAAGAAACTTTGCAGGTTGCTTAATCAGGTTCCTACATTGCCTTGTTAGGGTTCCTTATTATGATTTCCTTATGTAGGTCCTCAAAAAATCAAGGTTATTCCGGGTAAGGGTAAGGTCTAGAAGGGGCTCAGGGTTTAGCCTAAGGGTTTGGCGCGGAGGGTGTATGATTTTTTCAGAGCTGGGTTTGGGCGCAGCTTTCGCTACTGAGCACTGTTAATTTGCTTTCTTTGTTTATTATGGTGTTATAAGACTATCGGCATTAAAACTATGCTCGGATTTTTCAGGTACAATATGCAATTGTCATAGTATGGAACCCTAAGGAACGATATACATACGGTGGATGATATAAATCCTGCATGACCCATTACAAGAAATATACCATAATTCCCAGAGTTTGGGGTACTTAGGCTAATGCAGGATTTTTATCATCAACAGTAGTTCGCTTAAGCTTACGTTCTAGGAGCTTGGCCGTGGAGATGCTGGTCACGCCCACTCGGTTTGGGGCTTAGGGCTCGCGGCTTTAGGATATCCCAAACCCAACCCTAGGCCGCCCGGAAACCTAGGGCCCTTTTGGTATTGGGTTACTTTCTAGGAAACCTATTATTACAAAAAGGGAATAAGGGTACTACTGGGCATCCTAGCAACGGACCTCTGAAGTTCGGAAATTGTCGCAATGTTTCCTGCAGTTTCAGTACCATCAACAATGGTCGTTTATGCGGCCGAAAGCATAGGATGCTGCGATTTCTTTGATGAACCCCGAAACCCCAACAGAGCTTCTTCCGAGAACCTAAACGGACCTAAACCCTGCACCCCGAATCCTAAACCCCCCAGTGCTAAGCCCAAAGCCCCGAAGCCGAAGCACCGTGATTCGCTTCTTGATATGCATATGCGAAATCTGCCGGCTAATGAATCTTGAAACTAGCTTGTGAATGGAAAGACACAATGAAAGATTAACGGAAATCTGACGCTTAGTCGAACAACAAGTTCTCGCGTATCAGAAACAGCATGTGCAAGTTCCAGAAATCAGGGATTCAAGCACAGACCGCAAGACAGGATGATCCTGACTGTGCCTAATTAGGCAACCACTACGTGTCAGAAACCACCGCGCAGCACCCTCAAAACTAACCTTGATAAAAGCCTTGATCAATGCTATAAAAGAATCTGACCGGTAAAGCTTTGTAAAACCCTACATAACCAGATTGAAAACCTTACAAAGATCCTTTTAACCCTGCAAAACCGTCTAAAAGCCTCCAACACCCTGAGTGAAATCTAGCACGCCTCGTTGAACCGCTAAAGCCTAAACCCCCAAAGCTAAACTCCAAATCCTATCTATATAGTCTCCATGGTAGTTCCTTTTTTTGGTTAACCCAAAGCTATATTACAGGATCCCAACCATAAAATTGGTTAACCAAAAGAAGGAACTACCATGGAGACTATACTTAGAGGATCATGGGACTTAGTACGTAGGTTATAACGGGGATTATAAGTCCCCAAAGTGGGTTGTCCTAATTATAGCCTACTTATAACCTTACTTTCGAGGATCAGTAGGTAGACCCCGGGCTCCTAAACCCTACCCCTGAAGCCAAAACCCTAAACCACAGAAGATTTCTTCAGGTCCTTCTCAGCGAGGGTTCCCTGCTTCGGCTTCCCGGGAGCCCAAAGTGGTGGCTGCCTCAGAGAAACTTGGTTGAGGGTTCAGGGTTTAGGCCCTATAGGGTTTAGGGTTTTCTGATGGGCTCTTTTCCGATTTTTGGCTTTAGTGTGTAGGGTTTAGAGGCGTCCTAAAGGGTTTTAAGGACTATATCGCGTGTGTATGAGGTTTGTCCTAAGGCCTGACTTGTGCAGCGTCTTTGGGTTTCTGCTCGGGTGCTTAGCGTTTGGGTTGTCCCAAGTCCCCTTGATCGAATAACATTCCCCAGACCTTCCAAAATCCCTTAATTAAGGAATATACCTTAAAATATAGTAGGATCTCTAATATGATTTAAAGAATATTCCTTAATTAAAGGATTTTGGAAGGTCTGGGTCCTTGCAAGAGAATGCGGAACTTCATTGTATATTCCTGAAATTATGCGGTATTGAAGGTATTGGGCATTCACGGTAAAAGAAAGCACGCTTATGCCACCGTCGAAAACCCTACCTTTGCTGGAACCCTTATGGAGAGCAGTCATCACTAAACCCTAAATCCTGAAAGCCTTAATAACACTAACAGAACCTAATTAGAAGCTGGACATGGGTTTGCTAATTTTAATGTAGAGGGTCCACAGCAACCAGCAATCATGCGGGCGCAATCATGCGGGAGACCTAGTGTTATGTTTGGTGCGTAAAGGCTTGGGGGCGTTCTGGATGCTCTACTTGGAGGGTCGGGGGACTTAGTAAGTAGTTATTTTGGAGACTTATAAGTACCATAACCCCAATTAAGGTTCCCTTTAAGGGTACTTATAAGTCTACTTATTACCTACTTACTAAGTCCCCCGACCCTCCAAGTATGTCCTCTGTGCCCAACAATTTGGGATCTCAACCCGTGCTCTTCGAACCTCGGATCCTCATAAACTCGGAGCGTGGTCGAGACCTAGACCCAAGAGTAGGCCAGGCACAAAAAGGATGCCCTTTTGGTGTAAAGGGGTTTATAAGGGAACCTGAACCCTAAAAAAGGGAATAAGGGCCTAGAGACCCAAGAAATATTACTGAAATGGAAGTAAGTTCCCTCTGGGATTTTCTGGGAAATGCCAGGCGCAGACGGAGGTGCCATTTCTGGACGGAAAGGTCGCCGAGCACGGCGTCGAATCGTTCCAACAGGTCTCAGTGGAGCCAGTGGTTCCGGTGTACTTAAAGGGTCATGGGACTTAGTAACTAGGGTTGTAATTAGGGTAACTATACTTATAATTACTTATAACCCCAATTACCCTACTTACTACGTCCAATGATCCTCCAAGCAGGGCTTTGGGTGGTAAGCAACAAACAGAAGCCTCCTGTTTGCCGAGCTTCAGGCTGTTTGAGGCGCAGTGCATCCAATACAAGCCTACCCCGAGGCCAGACAGTCCCAAATCCCTCCACGTTACCTGAATCCTAACTCGCGAAGTACTTGGTAAAGACTTCTTAGTTGCTGAGTTCATAAGCCCCCAAGAGTGTACACTTTCAGTTGAATAGTGGATAATAATATTTACTGTAAAGTGTAAAGTGTATCCACTCAGCTACTAAGACTTAGTATGCGCAGCGCAGCCTCTAGACCCCAAACGAAACAATCACTAAACACTTGGTCAGCGTGCACTCTGGTTCCAACCGACCGTCTCTCTGGTCCTGAGTCCGAAGTGTACACTGCAGTGTGTACTTGGACCGTGCATGCAATTGTGATGCGAGGCCAAAAGGGGGTTTAAGATTCTTGGGGTAGGGATTCCTTAATATGAACCCTATTATGGGAACCCTAATCCCTACTGAACCCCCCATAGGCTAAAACCCTTTTTTGGCCTCCTATAAAATTGGGGCAGGAGCTGTACTGCAGCAAAGACTTGCTGCGGCAGCCGTCTCACATCTCGAAGAAGTACTTCGTTGCAATGGTCTTGATGTTCAGGGTATATGGAGGGTTTAGGTGTCGGGCATACTATGATGAACCAAACTTTTTTTGACTATTACTGGTGCTCCTTCAGCATGGCCTGCACTTATTCCCCGAGGGCAACAATCTTCTGTACGAGGTAAACTGCACAGCTTGCATCAGGCATCCTTAAACCTCTCACTCCAACACTCGCACAAGCCCCTGGACCCTACGCCCAAAGCCCTAAACCAAGAACAGTGAAAAGGCCCGAACTCCAGCCCCAAAGCTCACAGCACATCTCGAGAGGCAGGCTCAAGTCTTTCAGCATCTGGGCAGAGCTGCTCCGCTTCAAGCCTGCACGAGCTTCCTACCAACTTGTCGGGTATCATGGGGAACTAAAGGTTAACCTTTTTGGTCATATCAGGGTTATATAGGGACTATACTACCCAAAAAAAGGCTAAAGGTTGCCTACACTACTACTTACTAGGCCTATCTATTGCTCTTAGCTTAGCTCTTGAAGTGTAGGGGCTTTTAGAACTTTTTGGTTAACCAGTTTTAGGGTTACGATCGTATAATAGAGATTTTGGGTTAACCAATAAAGGAACTACAATGGAGACTATATAGGTTACATCAGAGTTTCAGCGCCGGGGCAAACCAGGTTTTCGGAGCTTCAGAGAACTCGGGAGGCCAGCCGAAACTGTCAGCCCGATAAAGACCGCTGAAAACACGGTTAATGGTGAAAGAGTGGTACACAAAAAGACAGATAGACTGATAAATAGATCGGGCGTTCCACTACCCTGTTCATCCTAGCTGTCAGTCCCGTCAGCATAAAGAAATCCCAGCGCGTTCCAGCCGGCGCAGAGGCTCCCAACGTCCATGGGCTGCAGGATTTCGGTTGCCGGGTCTTGCTTCAGGGTGTGGTGAGGGGACCACGGGTCTGTTCCGGGGTGTTTGCTTTAGGGGCCTCCTCAATAAGTACCAATACTATGTTGGGGGTTCTTGTGTTAATTAAAAAAGTACATATATTAATATATATATATATATATAACATACCCCCCAACACTATTCTAATTATTCAAGGCCCTTCATAAGGGTTAGGGAAGTTCTGGGTTTGGGGTGTGGGGCCTGTTGGGTTGGAGTAGGCCTGCAAATTCGTGTGGGGTTGAGGGTCCAGGGCTTGGGCTTTGGTGTTTGTTGCGGGGTTTGGAGTAGCTTAGGCTTGAGGCAGAACCACATGAAAGCTGTAGTGGTAGTAGACAAGTTTTATTTTTGCAGAGCGAAGGGTTTCATAATCTGAGTTCTAAGAACCTTACTTCAAAACCTGAGAGGATACATTAATGGCTAAGAAGCCGTACTTAAACAATAGAGCCCTTATAGATAGCCTTGTGACGCCTTGATTGCTACAGTTACTTGTAAACTTCAAAAGCATTGAGCCCTAATAGACAGCTTAAGCAAACAAAGCGCTGCCTGGAGAGAGGGCCGAGGTGTCTTGGATCAAGTCCCCCCATCGCCTCAGCTGCTTCGCTGTCACGTTGCTGAATATACTAGGAGGGTCGAGGGACTCTGTAAATAGTTGGTGAAACATCTCCTGCTCACTAAGCCGCAGGCTTGTACCATGTGTCGGGATTAGTGTTCGGGGCATTTGAGGGGTTGGTGGGTTTAGGGGTTTGTTGCCAAAGGTCGCCCCTTATGAAACCCTTCGAACGCCTATCTAAAACCTTCTTTAATTAGCCCTGGAAACCCATCCAAACCTTCCAAAATCCCTTAAGTAAGGAATATGCCTTAAATCGGATTAGGGATCCTACTATAGTTTAAGGTATATTCCTTAATTAAGTGGACATCATAGGAACCCCAGGCCCTCATAATCCCCATACCGCCCTAAGGGTCGTGAGTTTTCTGGGACCCTCAACACTACAGCTTCGATCTGAAACCCCAAAGCACGGTACACCGCTAACCAATAACAAATACCTCCTCTACTAAGGAACCCGAGGAACAGTGTTGTCATGATTAACCCTTAGCCCTAAACCCTTTTTGTTCAAGCCCCTACATTAAAACTTAGACCCCTAACCCGATCAAGAGGCTGGTCGCCCTTGGCATCGGCCTCAAGCGCTGCAAGAGGCTTTGGCATTCAATGAGGTTTAGGGTATAGGGTTTAGGGGTTTAGGGTTTGGTCCTGAGCCAGAAAAATCCTATAATTCAGGGGCTTATATAAGGAAAGCATATTTCGGAACTACTAAAAAGGTAGGTTTCTTAAGGTCCAGGTAGGGTTTGAGGGGTTTGGCGGTATGTGTGTTCTTGCTGGAGGGTTTAAGACGGTGTGTGTGTGTGTGTGTGTGTGTGTGTGTGTGTGTGTGTGTGTGTGTGTGTGTGTGTGTGTGTGTGTGTGTGTGTGTGTGTGTGTGTGTGTGTGTGTGTTTGTGTGTTTGTGTGTGTGTGAATGTTTGTGTGCATGTGTGTTTGCGTGTGTGTGTGTGTGTGTGTGTTTGTGTTTGTGTTTGTGTTTGTGTGTGCTTGAGCTGTTTAGGCTTGAAAGCTTTGGAGTTCAGGAGGTTGCTTACAGGATTCTGGGACGGATTCAGGGTGTAGGTGTTGTGTTTTTTGAAGGTTTTGGGATGCCTTCACAAACTCCAACAATAGTTTCATCTCATCTGAGGCACATTGAAGGAATATGCCGCATACATTCTTTCATCATATGGGTGGTTGCCAAAACTATGGTCCCTTTTTGGGTCGCTATTATGATACGGCACCTATTATTCAGGGTACCCAAAACGGGACCTTAATTTTGACAGCTACCCATATGGATCCCGTACTATGCTTTCGTGGTACCTCCTTAACTACGGACTTTTTTGGGTTTCTGGGGTTGGGCTTGGGGGTGGATCTGGGGCTGCAGGTTGTCTGTCTGAGTGTTATGGGTTCAACATGTTGCAAAACCTCTACTTGGAGGTTCATGGGTACTGTAGTTATAAGAGGGGTTATAAGTCGCCTAATATGGGTTTATAACTATAGTTATCCTACTTATAACCCCACTTATAACTACCCATGAACCTCCAAGTTCTACGCCCGAAACAGTTGTGGGTTTCTGAGATTTGAAGTTTAAGGGTTCCTTAAATCTTGAAAACACATCATGGTATTCTGGAGCCATTACAGCACTCCGGCTTTGTGCTCTGAAAGGAACCCTTACAGGAATCTTTGAATGATCTCTGACATGTACCTTGAAGCGATCCCCTAACCGTCAAGGAACTCTGTAAAGCACTTTACGGCCAGATGTAACCATTAGCTAAAGGAGCCCTACTTTTGAATATGGACTGTTTCGAGTTTAGGGACTTAATTGCTTTATATAATATAGCCTTAATAATTAGAATAGGGTTCTGGGGCCCGTTCTACCATGATTACAATCAGGAGTCCTCAAAAGGGTATCATTAAGACCCCTATATTCAACCCTTGTAGTAGCTCTTATAGACCCCTTTAAAGGAACCCTATTCTGATTATTGTTTAAGGGGTTGGGCCTGGGCCGGGAGGACGGTGACGTGGCCCCGGACGCGCTCGCCGCCAACTGTCTTCGCATGAGCGACCTGGTCTGTAGTTCCTTCTTTGGTTCCTATAAGGGCTGCGTTTGTTGAAGGAATGAATCTATAAGGGCTGTACTGCGAATCTATAGTGGTTCAGGGTGCAAGATTCATGGTTTAGGATGTACTTTTACTGTTTTGGGGAAAAGTTTGGGTTAGGAACTTATGAGGAGTTTGGGTTCGCAGTTTAAGTTTCCTTAGTTTCGGAGGATTCGAAAATAACTGGTGCTCCCTTTTTCGGACATCCTTCGTGTGGAGAGGTTAAGCATGTTTAGGCATGGTTTGGGCTTGGCAGCTGCCATAGAAAAAGGTGGCCCCGAAGGGAATCAGAAATGAAAGGGTGCGTCTTGGTTTTGCAAGTAATAGTCTGGAGTGCCTACTGACGGCCCGACCTAAATCCAGTTCTAGACCCTAGAAGAAGACAACCTTGTCTTCCCTAAACCCTATAAACCCTAGCTTAAATAAATAGATAAATAAATAAATATACAGATATATATATATATATATATGTATGTATATCTGTGTATCTGGCCTCGAACGACTTCCATCATCCCTGGCCGAAGTAAAACCCGCAGTTTGAGTATGGATGGAACTGCAGTGTTTCGAGCTGAGGGCTTAGGGCTTACAGAGCGCCATTAGGATTTTAGGCCTAAATTTCGGGGTTTATAGGGCACAATGAATCAAAAAAACTTGCAGAGAGCAGTTTAGTATATTAGGTTTAAATGCATGGTTTGTGAGCAAAATGCGTCTTTAAGGCTTCGGGCTTAGGGCTATCCTATTCGACAGCAGTCAGCACCCATGGCCCTCTGATGTGGCACAAGATCGCCCCCCCGAAATCCATCGTCAAGAAGAGCCCTTACTCATGCGCCGCATACTCCCTCACGATTCCATTGTGTTCACAGGTTTCGGTTTATGCACGATTTTTCTGAAATTGGTGACTTTCGCAATACGATGTACATGCTTTTATCTTGGTTATTTGGACATGCAGTAGTATTTGTTCGAGTTCATCAGGGTTTTAGGTTGCGGTTTCAGGATTGAAGCATGCCTCACGTCTTCGCCGGGCCCATATCGTGAACATGAACACATACCGTAACCTGCCAAAACCTGCTTGTTTGCTGAGGCAAGTCCCAAACGACGACGACCCTACCCTAGATCCACGCGCACAGACCACTAATTCCTGCTTCGGATGAAAAACTTGCATCATATTCGTTTACTGCTACCACTATTTTCATACTAGACCCAAGAGTAACCCAGGAATAAAAAGGGTGCCCTTGTTGGTTTAAAGTTTGTTATAAGGGAACCTGAACCCCAAAAAAGGGAATAAGGGCTTACTCTGGGTCCTAGCATATGTAGCTAACCATGAAACAAAACTGTCTCGCCGCTGGCATCCGAACAAACCATGGCAGCCTGCAGCCAAAAGGCCCCGAACCCTTAACCCTAAACTTTAGGCCCAATATATATATATATATATATATATATATACACACACATACATATACATATATATATATATATATATATATATATGTATATAGATATGTACATATATATATATATATATATATATATAAGCCCGAAGCTGTAACTACTACAGATAGCACCCTAAACCCCAACTCCTGCTTTGGCCCAGCCTGCATCAGCTTCAAGGCCTGCAGACGCAAACAACGACTTGCTGTCATTTCGTGCTGCCGTGTAGGGTTTAGGGTTCAGGGCTTATAGTAGAAGCCATAAAGTTGGAACATCATTGGCCTCATGCCCTTAAGGTAAAGTATAAGGGATCCTGCACTAAGCCTCCTAAAGCCATGTTCCAACTTTCTGGCTTCTACTGTAGGGGTTCAAGGCTGGGGTTCGGGGCTTGAGGCTTTGGGTTCGGGGAAGGGCTTAGGGTTTAGGAGATATGGGGGGTTTAGGGCTTGGGGTGTAGGGTTTGGGGTTCCGGTTGGCCTTCATATGCCTTAAAGCATATGCATACATATATATATATATACATATATATACATACATACATATATATATATATATATATATATATATATATATATATGCATATATATATATACAGACATATATATATATATATATATATACGCATACGTGGATTTTGCCACACTCTAGACTCCTTCGAACAACAAACTTGTTCGGACCCCTGCATTATGCTTCCGGTCTCTCGTGATCTTCAAGAGAAGCGGTAGGTAATGCCTCACACCTAGACCCCGAGCCTTCACCTCTGAACCCTAAGCCCTCCAGGGTAGTCTGTAATTGCTAGAAAACTTGAAGAAACTAAACTGGAATAGGGTTCTGTAGAGGCTTTAAAGGGTCCTATGACCGTTCTATAGGTCACTCCAAGGGCCTTGGTCGCTGAGGTAGGGTTTTGTTACGGTATACTGGCATAACATAGGAACCAGAAAGTCTTGTTGCTAGTCTAACACATCCTTAGGTGCCTAATAATTCGGAAATCCCCCCGATGCTAAACTACACCTACGCCGATCTTGCACACAAACACCTCGAAATTCAGGTGCTTTGGAAACTTGGGGTGCCAGATACCTTGAAACCAAAGCGGTGTGCCGTGAAATCTCGAAGGACTCTGCGCCATCTTGGACACTACAAGCCACGGAAAAGGTTGAAAGGTTGGCAGGACCCTCTAGATATGGGAGTTTCCGAAAATTAGGACACCTTATTTTGGGGTCCTTATAATAAGTATCCTACTGTTCAGGGTACTGTACTAGGGTCCCCTGTTTTCGAAAACTCCATATCTTTACAGCGTAGAGCCTAGGGCGTAGGGGTTTGATTTTTTGTTTATGAGGTGCCATGCTCCAAGAATCATAGTGACCCTTGAGGGCGGGGTCGGGGGGCCTTAATGCCCATAACAAGGCCCTAATAAGGCCTATTTAAGGAAGTATAATAATCCCGGTCCCTATGAAAGAACCCGAGCATGGGTTGAAACGAGGCTAGAGGTCTTTGGTTGTGTGTGTCATGGTTTCCTTCAGGTTTAATGTAGGAACCTGATTAAGAAACCCTGGGCCTATAACACCAAAAAAGTATGATTCATATAAGGAACCCTAATGAAGGCCCAAGGTTTCTTTATCAGGTTCCTACATTACCCTTACAGTACCCTTATGGAGCCCTTATAGATCCCTACATTAGGGTTTAAGCTGTCCCTCTGCATCGACTTCAGAAATGCGGGCAGCTCTAGGTCTAGGTTTTTCAACCCACAAGCAAGGCCCCCACCTGACCGCTTCGAGTCGCTGCCTGTCATGCGTCCAGGAGGGTTATACAAACCCCAAGAATTGTGAGGGGGTGGGGGGTGGTTAGGCAACAACAAACACTTCTTAGGCCCGGTTCCACAAGAGAGGTAGTGGTGTGTACAGTGTGTGCGTTTGGTTTACGGTCAAAGAGGCCTGCCGCGAGATGCAGTCCCTGACTGTTGAAATGTCTGCACATCTCTAAGGATCGCTTAACGCTCCTAAACCGTATTTAAACCCTGTGAACCCTAACCCTAAACCCCTAAACCCTAAACCCTAACCCTGAACCCTAAACCCTGAACCCTAACCGGTAACCCTAAACCCTAAACCCTAAACCCCTAAATCCTAAACCCTATAAACCCTAACCCTAAAGCCCTAAACTTCTGGAGGAGCCTCCTCCCTGTGCTGCAGCAATGCTTCGTCCTCATGCCTAGCTGCGCAATGAAATCACCGTGTGTCCCTAAGACTCCATGTGCCCATATAGTAGGTACTCAGGCCTTAAAGGGGTCCCTACATGGGTACTTTAAGGCCTGAGTACCTACATATGGGTACGCGGAGCCTTTGGGTGTGTGGCAATAGCCGTCTGGAGCACGTCGTCTCTCGGCCTAAATGCAGGGCAGACTTTCACCCTGTCAACCAAATGGGAGTTTCCGAAAATAGGGGTGCCTTCTTTTGGGGTCCTTATTATAATAAAGATCCTACTGTTTAGGGTACTACATAAGGTCCCCTGTTTTCGGAACTTTTGGACCTAGACTTCCGGCCTGCAGGCGTGCCTCCGCAGTCAGTCAAGGTGGGAATGCAGGGGCGTCACTCCTTTGCTGCTCCTCCTCCCTGGGCTGTGGCATGGGTTCGACATCCCAGAACCAGCATCCATTTGGTTGCCCGGGTGTCGATTATGAGAGCCTTAACTTGTACAAAGTTGAATCCGAAACCCGACTCTGCACCCCTAACAGCCATGAAGGCAAACCAAGTCACAACCCTAAACACACACGAAACTTCACACTTGATACCATACCTACAGTCTGCATTGCAGTTCAGTTCATGTTTGGAATCACCAGCTTTGTACTCAGATAGGAGTTTTAGAGAACGGAAGAGGGCAGGCAACATAAGGAACTACTTTGGAGGCTATCAGTCCACCCTGCACAAACGAGTCCAAATACCCAAATGGGAGTTTTCGAGAATAGGGGGCCCTAATTTACCCTAAGCAGTAGCTTCCTTAGTACAACGGTTGATGATAAAAGTCCTGCATTACTTTGAGGACCCGAAACTATGGGAATTATGGCATATTCCTTATTATGGGTCATGCAGGGTTTATATCATCAACCGAAGGACCCCAAAATAGGGTACCCCTGTTTTCGGAACCTCCCAAAGGGGCTCATGAGTCCCAAACAAGGTAAACTCTGAAGGAACACATCTGAAAACCTGAATCCCGCACCCCAAGATCCGACAGAAACTTCATAGAAACCCTCAGAGCAGCTCCTATGGAACCCTAAACCTTTTAAAACCCTGAACCCCAGGTCCCTTCTGGAATCCTTGCGGAACCCCAACCCCTACGCCTTAAACCCTGAAACCCTAGACCCTTATACCCTAAACCCCCAAACCTCCTAAACCCCTGAACTCTCCTGTAAACCCTAAACCTGAAACCCTAAACCCCTAAACCCTAAACTCCTCTGTAAACCTTAAACCCCGAAACCCTAAACCCCTAAACTCCTGGGCGGAATCCCGAAACGCCGCCTTGCCCGGGAAGAGGAGCTCCGTCAGAGTCCCCGCCTCTGCGGCCTCGCAAAGATCTTGGGGGTTTAGGGTTTAGGGTATATAGGGTTTGGGGTTTAGGGCTTAGGGTTTATAGGGTTTAGGGGTTTAGGGGTTCAGGGTTTTGTGTTTGTAGGGGTTTTACGGTTTAGAAATGGGTGCATGGATTTAGGGTTGCTGGTTCGTGTCCGTTTTTCTGCTCAGACGATCGTCCAGAGTCCAGATGACACCCTCGTTGCTTGCCTTGAACCAAGCCGGGTCTGTCATCTCCAGTTTGCTCATCGACAGCCTGTCGTCCACGGTGACGGTCTGCGAATCGTGGCCAATGCCGGCGACAAATGCCCGGCAGGCTTGGTTCGCATGCGATCCCGCTGTGCTCGCATAGCGAAGGGCTGCGACCTCCACCGCCGCCAACTTTCCCGTCGAATCCGCCACCAGTTTCTCGTTGAACTGGCGGACCTCATCCCCCGGAAGGTCCGCTGGGGATCTCAAGGCAAATCGATCGTGTCTCCTCGCAGGAATATCCGATAGCTGCGATACTGCCGACCCGCTCGTGGACGTGAGCTGCCGAAACGCCGAGCCCGTCACGGTTGGCTGTGTGAACGCCAACGAGGGTGCACTGAAGTCGTTGCTTCCAAAACCCTAAACCCTAAACCGAAAACCCACCCCAAACCGAAAACCCTAAACCCTAAACCGAAAACCCTAAACCCTCCAGGCCAGCTTTTGGCCGAGCAAGTCGTCGTGAAGCTCCGTCATGGACTGCACGAGGCGTCCTCCCGCCGCCTTGTCTAGCTTATTACTATACTATTACTACCATTACTATACTAGTACTACTATTACTATTATTACTTTTATTACTGCTATTACTACTATGCAAAGCCTTGAACTTCTCCTGTTGATCTGCACTGATGTATGCTCAACTTGGCTCGTCTATGTCTCTGCAGAAGATACAGAACGAGGCATTGTCTAAGGGCCTAAGGGTTTAGAGGTTATGGAGCAGGAGCAAGTTTATCCAAAATGTGCGTTGAAAGTAAACAGACGGCGAACAAGCAGTCCTATAAGTCCCAGACCTTCGAAATATCCTTTAAGTAAGGAATATACACTAAAAATGTAATAGGATGCCCAAAAAAAGGGGGAATTTGCAAGGTCGACGGTCCTGCTCTTTGTGGACAACTCCACCCCAAACCCTAAACCGTCCAGGGTTGTAAGTTATAGAGCTTATTCTAGGTAAGGGGCAGTAAGTCTTTTTTGCAGAATGGTGGAAGAGCCATTCTATTGCTTGCACTCGCGTGATAGCACCGTACTTTGTTGAAGTAGGGAGTTGGGTTGTCGACTTCCCTTAGGTGAATCCGAATGCAGGGCTCCCTTATTGGTACTGGGTTTGTAATTTTATAAGACTACCGAAACCACAAAACAAATGACCAAGGACCCACTGGAAGACCTAGAAACGAAGTATTCCCTAAGGGTCCCTGTACTCATATAGTATATACATTGGCCTTAAAGTACTCCTATATGGGTACATGGACCCTTAGGGATTATGTTATCAGCAGCTACTGATCTGGCCGAAGCCCAGCACACGTAGAAAGAATGACCCTTCTGGCGCAAATATTCGGATGTTCTACCCTTTGTAATATAAGCCCTAAACCCTAAGCGCGAGGCCCTAAACCCGAAGCCTTAAACCCTTAAAACGTCGTGACCTCGAAGCGGATGGCTTCGTCCTCCTCCCCGGACTGACCTCAGCTGCAGGAAGCTCTCGATTCTCACAGCTATGCCTTTGTCTGTTGTTTGTCTGTGGGTGTGGGTGTGTGTGTGTGTGTGTGTGTGTGTGTGTGTGAGTGTGTGAGTGTGTGAGTGCGTGTGTGTGTGTGTGGCTGGTGGGTCTACGTTTGTTTACGCATGTATGCACGTATGCATGTACGAACGTGTATATACATGCGGCTCCACTGGGAAGGAGCAACGGACAGGGTCCCCTCTACTGGGGCCCCATTAACAACCCGATGAGTTTAGGGTCTTGAGGTCCTCATCGTGCTTAGGGTTTAGGGTTTAGGGTGTTGGGGTTCAGGGTTTAGGGCAAACCGAAGATGAAACTGGCTTAGAACAGGGCAGCTTGCGACGGAACTTGTAGCAGAACTTTCTGGACAGGCTCGACCCCTCATGCAGCTTGAAGGCCTTCTCGTGAGATTTCAATCATACATCAGCCACAAACCCTAAACCCCCAAAGCATAATATCGATATTTAGACCTATTTGCTACTTCGAGAAAATGCTGCAGCCGTCTAGCCGCTAGCCCCAAACCTCAGAAGCCTAAACCTTACACCATACATCCTAAACCCTAAACTCCTGCAGCAGAATACGGAACCTTAAAAGAGGTAGGTCTTCCGGCGCAGGTACATCTTGCTCCTTCAGTGGATGACAGCTTTTCGATGATACGTACCCTAAGTGAGGGGTCCACACAGCAACTTTCGCAACAACTGCTTTACGGCCAGAGTATGCCAAACTATATATATATATATATATATATACACATGTGTGTATGCCTATATATATAATATAAGGTTACATGAACCCTTACGGATATATGTCCTGCATAGTTCACTTGAGGCATTCTCAACTCCAGGCATTGGCTATAATAGCAATCATCGCCATTTCAAGACCAATGGTTATGTCACGATTAAGTCTGGACTGCTTCTTCTCAGCCTTCGGAGTGCTGTCTAGAATTCACAGAAGACGTCGTCGTTTCACCCTGCAAACAAGTCTTTACATGCGCCCTCGCTCAAAAGAATGGTGATATCTCTCCGTTCGTTCGGTCACTCTATCGCTGCGTCAAGAGAAACCCAGACCTTCCAAAATCCCTCAAATAAGGAATATACCTTAAACTAAAGTAGGAACCCTAATATGATTTAAGGCATATTCCTTGGGAACCCCCCCTAGCCTTCAGCAGCATCCGATCCTGAACCCCAGCTACGCAGCCCTGAGCAGCCCCTGGGTTTAGGGGTTTAGGGTTTAGGGGTTTAGGGTTTAGGGGTTAGGGCTTATAGGGTTTAGGGTTTAGGGGTTTAGGGTTTAGGGGTTTAGGGTTTAGGGTTTAGAAGGTTTAGGGTTTAGGGTTTATAGGGTTTAAGGTTTAGTAAACACGACAGCCCTATTCTCTAAACCTTGAACCCTTATTCGGACCTTGGAAGTCCCTTCTGAGTGTAAAGGTTGGGAACCCCAAACCCTAAACCCCACTGTAAACCATAAACCCCCAAACCCCTAAAATCCAAAACCGATTGAGGCTGCCCAGTTGCGCCAGGCATTCATGAGATCTTCGCCTTATCGGCTGATGCAAGGGTTCTTAGTTGCTGAGTTCATAAGCCTCAAAAAGGAACCCCAGACTCTGAACCCTGATTCTAAAACCCACAAGCTTAGGTGCTGAGTTCAGAAGCCCCTCAAAAAGTGCACACTTTCAGTTTTATTATAGTGGGTGGTACTGCTGATGGACAAAATCCTGCATTACCCATTATAAGGAATATACCATAGTTCCCAATAGTGTAGAGTTTAGAGTCCTTAGGGTCATGCAGGATTTTGTCCATCAGCAGTATTATCCCCAAAAAGTCTAAAGTGTATCCACTCAGCTACTGTGGCTTCCATCCCAAATCCCGACGCCAGAGATGCTGGATACGGGAACCTGAAAAAAATAAGGTTTCAGTTCAGCTGGAAGTACCTGGGAGGCTTGGAGGAAAAAAGTGCAATTTCAGTATAGCTGGAAGTACCTCAGAAGCTTTTCTGAGAAGGGGCAATTTCAATAGAGCTGCAAGTACTTCAGGAGCCCCTTTTTGAATTAATGACACTATCTGGAAGGTTGTGGGTTGTCGATGCCTGCCGCCAGGGCTTTGGAAGCATCTCTGAGTTCGCAACCTTGAATACTGCAAGAAGCTGAGTACCCCAGCCCTGAAAAGGTTAACCTTTCCCAAAGGGTCCTATGTACCGATATGGTAGAATGTAGGGTTCCCATATTTAGGAACTACTATTATGACTTAGGGAAGTATCCCCCATAACAGTACAAAGGACCCTTTGGGTTTTGAGTTATGGTAGGATCATATAAGGCCACAAAAGGTGAAAGGTTACCTACTCAGCCCCTGAGATACTGCAAGGGGCCACCGGAGGTGTTTGCTGCAGCAGAAGAACTGTCCGAAATCTCTCAGGTCCCCAACTAAGCCGAGAAACGAAGAAATGCAGAGTTTAACCCCTAAACCCTAAACAGCCTAAACCCTTAAGGTCGAGCCGAGGGTTTGCAAAAGCAGTTCTAGGAATCCCAGCCGTCATAACAATCACAGCTATGACACAGACCTATGGTTCGGCTACTGGTGACGCAATTCTTAGGGCTTCCGGTACAGGGTAGAGGCCCAAACCTTCCAGCATCGCTGAACTAAGAAGCACACCTTCAAATTACAGAAGGATCCCTGATATGGTGTAAAGATTTGCTCAACAACTACAAAAGGAACCCCGTAAAGGACCTAGGGACACGACAGTTTCGGGCCATGCTGAGATAGGAAGGCACAGCGTTTTGTTTGCGAGTTGGTGTTTGTAGGCGACCGTGGGCATCTGCCGTGCCCCGGACCGGAGCCGCACCCAGAGTGGACTCGTCAATCCAGCTTTCAAGCCACGGCACTCCAGAAGCCTGTTGACAGCCTTCGCGCCGACCCGCCACGCTATTGGGCAGAGGCTGATGGGCCTAGATTCTTCGCCCTTTTTCGGGATTAATGCAACGACGACCCTTTTCCAAAGCTGAGGGACTCGCCCGAGGCGTAAGGATGCAATTCCACAGGTCTGCCAGCGCCTGCAACCATTGACTCGGGAGTCGCAGAAGGGCCGCGGAACTCCAGTTGTCAGCCCCAGAAGCTTTCTTCGCCATGGTGCTTGCGGCCTTCTTAAGCATATCCGCATCAAGCTGCAACGACACGGGCGTTTTCGCAGAGAGGTCCGGCAAAACGCACAGGGCAGCATCGACTGCCTCATAATTTAGCTCATGCCCGTCAAGGTACCATTTGGCAGTCCAAGTGCCCGCCTCGCGAGCAACGAAAGCAGCGGGATGCACGGTTTGGCACTCCTCCGGGGGTGCTCCCTTCGACATAAAGCGCACTTGTTCCTTCTGTTTGGCTTCGAAAAGGGAACGCTGAAGAAAAGTGCGAAAGGACACTACTGAGAAACATGACCCTAAAGCCAAAACTCTTCTAGCTAGAATCTTCTGGCACATGGACCAAGTTCCAACTTTGACTTTTTTCCATGCATCTAAACACTCGGCGCAACCGTGTAACCGATTTGAGTTACCCTGCGGGTCCAAGTAGTCCTTTGATGGCGTTTGGAACCCCGGTTAATAAGGACCCTTGGGATTACATTATAACCGGCGACCTTGAAACGTTAGCAAGATTGGATCTGAGGAAGTGGCCGTGACCATTGACTTGCACCAGGAAAATACGATCGTTCACCTGGCTTTGGGGATTTCGGGTTTAGGACTTTAAGGTTTTAGGGTTTGTGGGTTTGGGCTTGACGGTTTTAGGGCTCCAGGGTTGGAGGGTTTGGGGGCTTAACTAGGGCTTGGGATGAGAACATCGTCAAGGACAAGCTAAAAAGGAAGAATTGGGTTTAGCGTCTATAAGGATTTAGGGCTTAGGGTGTGGGCTTAAACAAAGGCGCCCCTAAACCTGGCCTAGGATCGCCAGCAGCCGAGCAGAATAAGAAGAGCTTCACTTTTCATAGGGAACCTAATCCGCGTTCCCTGAGGGTCCGATGAGTATACTTTGACCCCTCAGTACCTACACAGGGACGACTCCAAGGCCCAGGTATAAGTTGTATGAGTACATGGACCCGTAGTGTCGCTCATATTAGGGCCTTCATAAATTAGGAGTAGGGTTTTCGGATGTGTTAGAGTATGACTGGAATAAGGATCCCCAAAGCATAACAATTGTGGTTGTAGTCTGAGGGGGTGCAAGTACCAGTTTCGTGCTTGCGTTTTAGGCTGGGCCTCTATCCCTAAGGGTCCATGTACCTTGAGAGTTCCTTTAAGGGTCAGTACAAGGTTACGAGGTCTACTATAAGTGTTTAGGAGTCTCTGTATCCAAACCGTACATACTTTGGCCCTAGAGTACCTATACGGCAATTTAATTAGATGTCTTTTAGGGTTTTAGGATCCTCCTATATATAGGGACTACTTTGTGGCTTTGTTTCCGACGTATATCCTACTTGCGTACATAGGCCCTAAGTGTATTTGTGTCGCTGGCCTGCTTCAGCTTTCATCCAAAGGTTGAGCAGGACACCGACTGACTCCAACCCACACAGTCTGTCAAACCTTCATAAGCCATAGTACTTGATCCCAAAATGACTGTCGGGGGCAACACTGCATCTGCCATACCCGAACCCCAAACCTTCCGGGCTAGCTGGAGCAAGCAGAATGACGAGAACCTATACCCTAAACCCTGGCAAGTGACAAGTCTCATGACCAGCCGGAACTGATGACCTGATGACCCGGAGAACGTACACTGATCTGCATGCGTCCAAATTGCGAGGCCGCTGTTCTTCGCATCCCACTGGAATATGCCACCTGCGCCGAAGCTTTGCCAATTTCGATCGGGAACATAATCCCAGAAGGTCCATATACACTATTATGGAATTAGGTCCCAAAACCATCATAAGCATGGTCTTTTGGGACCTGATTCCAGAATGGTAGTGTGGATGGGTGGTGGTCAAAATTATGGTCCCTTTTTGGGTCCCTATTATAATACGGCACCCATTATTTAGGGTACGGGTACCCCAAAAGGGACCTGAATTTTGACAACTACCCATATGGACCCTCTGGGAATGTTTTCTGGACGTTGAAGATCTTATCCCCCACTTGGAGGGTCGGTGGACTTAGTAAGTAGGTAATAAGTGGAGTTATAAGTACCCCAAAAGGGATCCTAATTGGTGTTATGGTACTTTTTAGTCTCCAAAATCCCTAGTTACTGAGTCCCCCGACCTTCCAAGCAACCCCTGAACCGGAAGCCTGTCAAAACTGACCCAGAGACGTGAGCCTCTCTTCGATCGTGCTGTCAGGTTACTAGGCGGGTGGTGAAACTGGGTAAGTACATAACAATATAGACTTAGACCCTAATAGGGATCCTGATTGGGGTTATGGCACCTTTAAGTCTATAACATGACTACTTAATTACCAAGTCCCCTACCCTCCATTATAGAACCCTTATAGTTCTTTTGAAGGATCCCCTTCAGGAGCCCTACAGTTACTAAGTCCGTGCAGCCTCATGCACGGAGCGCACAGCAAGCCCGACAGCGCTGCGAAACCTTCAAACGTAAGGCCACGAAGCTCAATGTCACCCCAGAATTACCTAGAGGCTCATACCCTACCCCTTTTTTCAGGTACCTAATTTTCTATATAACAGCTCCTAACCATAAAACCTAGTATCCTAAAACAGGGGTAGGGTATGACCCTCTAGGTATGCTTTAACCCCAAGTCTCGAGCCGCAGTTCCTCTTCAAATACCCAAAACCCCCGGAGAGCCATAATCAAATCTTATGATATTCTCTCGGGGTTTATATGAGCAAAAAAACATTCCTCAGGAGACTATAGTCACTATAGTCATCAAATACCCAAAACCCTTAATCCTGCCTGTTCTTGGATGCAGGGGCTGGTCCTTGAACAGGCCATCCAGATACTTGGACAAAGGGACACTGTGATCCCGGAAGTAGGCAGAGGAGTCCTTGGAGTGCCGGGCGCTGTGCTAGGATTACTGGTTTACAGGGGTTACGGTTCAGGAACTCGGAGATACGGCATCTAGTGACTCTAGTGGCCCTCCAGACAAAGCAGTGCTTTGTATGATGAAAATGAAGATTTTGACGATAACTCTCGCGATGCCGACGACAACTAGGAAGTTGACAGGATGAAGATGAAGAGCCAAGCATGGTTCGGAGTTCTCGCACTAGTAGATAGTAGATCTAGATGCGAAGTTGAAATATCGACTGGAACGAAAATCCCCTCAACAACGTAACGACACGTCGTAACCCTTGAATGCTCGACTTTTTCCAGGAAAAAAAAGAGGGGATCTGAACCGTCCTATCTCTGAGTCTTCAACCTACCGCCGCAATTCACAGAAGCACCACCAAGAACAAAGACCTCAACACCCTAAATCCCAAACCATGGGAAAACCGTGAGTCGGATGGGGATTGCCGGGAACCCATGCGTAACCCGACACCCCAAACCCTACCTGTAGCCGAAGAACCCCACCTGTTTAGGGTTTCCTTTTTGTGGGTTCTGCTATATCTAGTTATATAATACATTGAATTTTGGTTTTTCCTGAACAAGGTAGGGTGCTTCTGCCACAGGACAACCATATCGCGTGAGCAGATGTGCCGTAGATCGGATCTCAACTATGCATGATTGGGAAACCACATTGCCCGGAGTCCCTGGACCCAAATAGTGTATACGTTGGCTTTCAAGCATAGATACATTGGGCCGAAAGTATATAGTGTGGGTACATGGACCCTTAGGGATTGCCGGGAGTCCATGTACAGAATCCAGCCGCACTTCTCTCTGCCTCAGCATGAGCGACTCTCCGACGCAAAACCCATACATCCAACCACCCAGATGTTCCCTCTGTAGACTCCTGTTTTTCAGTTTAGGGATTACAGGGTCCAGGGTTTAGGCCTTACTATCCGTTCCTCTATCCATCGCCGTGCTTGTGTTGAGAAAAGACAGGGTTTGGGCACAGAGACCCTTAAATCTGTCAACATGTTGAAACCAGTCGACGAAGAGGAGAGTAGTAAGAGTTGGCAAACTATACTCATGCATAAACACAGCCAGATAGGTAGATAGATGAATGGATGGATTAATAAAGAGCGACGCAGACAGACAGACAGACACACTAAACGATGATATAAATCCTGCATCACCCATAAAAAGGAGAAAAGGAGTATACCGGAATTCCCATAGTTTAAGGCCCTTAAGGTCATGACACTGAACTACGGGAATTATGGTATATTCAATATACCATAGTTCCGGTCGGTATATTCCTTATTACCCTGACGGTCCATGTACCCATATAGCATATACTTTGGGCCCAATGTACCAATATAGGGAGTACTTTAAGGCCAACGTATATACTATATGAATACATGGACCCTTAGGGCTATGGGTAATGCAGGATTTGGATCATCGACCGTAGTTTAACCTAGCCGACCTCCTGAGGCAGCTCAAGACAGCCTAATAGGGTTTTGGGGGAGAATAGGGTTCCTTTCAAGGGGTCTTTTCAGGGATCTATAAGGGTGCTATAATGTAGGGACGTTAAAAAAGAGTAGGGTTTTGGGGATCTAATATGCTATACTCCTATAGCAACGAACCCCCACAAAAAGTATAGGTAATTATTCAGGCCCCTACGTTAGAAACCTTTCAGGGTTAAGGATATACCTTGACCCTGAATATCCTACCGCTTTAAGGGCTCATTGAAGAACTCATTAGAAGGAGGCCTAAAATGACAGTTTTTTTGCTGTTACTAAGGTAATAGAAACCTGGTCAAGGGAGGGTCTTCCTTGAGGCTTGAAGGTCTACGGCGGTTTCGGTCGTCGGGGGACTTAGTATGCAGTTACTGTTATAAAGCTGGAAGTATCATAACCGCCATTTGCAATGGGTTGTGTAACTCTAGTCAATACCCACCTCCTACTTGGAGGGTCGGGGGACTTGGTAACTCGTTATTTTGGAGACCAACAAGTACCATAGCCCCAATTAGGATCCCCCTTAGGGTACTTATAACTCTACTTATTACCTACTTACTAAGTCTCCCGACCCTCCAAGTAAGCCCGCCGAGAGAAGATGGCTGAAGCCAAGGTGCGGGAGTCTGCTGCCTGCATGCGCTCATGAAGGAAGGGCACACGGTACCTTCGTGTCTGCATAGACCATGGCTTTCAGTTCATAGGGTTTGAGGCATTTTATAGGGGTTGAGCATTTTACAGGGTTAGGGGCATTTACGGAGAATCCATAATAGCATCCGTGACATCCGTGAAACGAATCCTTCAAACATCAATTAAAGTATTGTGCCTGATCTGCCTTTCTCAAAAACGGATAGGCCTCGAAGTCATCCCTAAACCCAATCAATGCCCCAGAGCCCTAGTCCTTAGTAGTCATGAAAACAGCGCCATGAGCCTAAGGGTCATTCAAATCCTGCATTATCTTTTCGACTGAGGTCCAAGGCTCAGGCTTCACCGTTTTGGGTTTTAGGGATTTAGGGTTTAGGGTTTAGGGTTTAGGGTTTAGGGATTTAGGGTTTAGGGTTTAGGGATTTAGGGTTTAGGGTTTAGGGATTTAGGGTTTAGGGTTTAGGGTTTAGGGACTTCTGCAACATGTGCCGTTCTTACGGTCCGCAATGAATGATGCTGTCCTGCAGCAGTCTCCTCACAAACGCTTGGAGCTGCCGGAAAAACCATAACCCCTGCAAGCAACCAGAGAGCCCCACTAGCAGCTCCATCTCTTCGGGTTTGCCCTACCCTACCGTTTTAAGGACTTATAAGCAAATGATAATAAGGATCCCTGAAAGGGTAGGTTTTGAGGGTTTACCCTAGCGCTTGCGGTGTGCCCAAGCAAAGACTGCAAACCGTGGAAGCTCGTTGGGCTGGGTCTAGCGGGCTGATACACAGTGCCTAGAGGCTCATACCCCACCGCCCCCTTCTTTAAGGTACAGAGTTTTCTATATAACAGCTCCTAACCATAAAACTAGGCATCCTAAAAAGGGGTAGGGTGTGACCCTCCAGGTGTCTTGACCTCTTGGTGTTTAGAGTTCTGGGCCCGACACCCTAACCCCTCAACCTTCAAGCCCTGAACGCCTAAGCCCTACTGTTGATGATAAAAATCCTGCACTACCTTAAGGACCCTAAAGTATGGGAATTATGGTATATTCGCTACTATGGGTAATGCAGGATTTATATCATCAACCGTATAGCTGTTGGAAGCCCCAGCCCTACACATCCTGGTGTCAGCTCGCTGCAGGATCGTTGACTAGCCGAGCCGTAGAACCATCCCATGGACACCCTTCCGGATTTAGGGTTAGGGGTTGAAGGGTTTAGGGCCTTCGGGCTTAGGGTTAAGGGTGGCTAGCTCCTTAGATGCCCAGGGAGTTATTGGGTTAGGGTATTGTGGGTGTTGAAGGGTTCAGGCAGAGTTGATGCGACCAAAACGACCCAGTAGTCTCGTCTGCCATTTTGATGGCAGAGCCCCCCTGAAGCCTCAATCCCCGAGCATGTTACGATACGGTCGTGCTCAAGTCTTCTTGTACTTTGAGCTTAGGGGTCAGACTCGATTGAGCTTCAAAAGCCTGACTTACATTCCAGACTCTGCTCTTTGCACAGCTAGGAAGACAAGTGCTATCCTTTTCCTTTCCTTACACCTCGGATTGCTAGAGCAGAGCTCGGAGCCCGGAGAACTCATAACAATCCAGATTCCCTCAAGGCCCTAACTGCATAGGGCTAAACTTCCTCTAAGCTTGGGCAGACTGAAGGTTTTGCTTCGAAACTCCTACTAAACCAAACCCTAACATTGCGCTCAGCCCGAAATCCTCAACAACAAGGGTTTAGGGTTTAGGGTTTAGGGTTTAGGGGTTTAGGGTTTAGGGTTTAGGGTTTAGGGAGTGAAGCTGAACACGCTTACAAACCCAGACCCCAACCCCCTGAAACCCAAACAAAAGCTCTACATACGCTTGATGATATAAATCCTGCATGACCCATTATAAGGAATAGACCATAATTCCCATAGTTTAGGGTCCTTAGGGTAATGCAGGATTTATATCATCCACCGTAGTTGTGAACCTATCCCCAAGGCTCCATGTATCCATATGAGTATACATTGAGCCTAAAGTGCCGATATAGGGACTACTTTAAGGCCAAAGTATATCCTATTTGGGTACATGGACCCTTAGGGCTATAACTTTGAATCAACAAGGGCAATTCTAGACACCATAATCTCAATTAGGATCCGTTTTGGGATACCTATAACTCGTAACTATAGTACCAGTGCCGAGCTGGATGCCAGCTGTTTGCCGGAGTCCTACCGTCACCTCGGATGCAGGACTTCCCGAAGCCTACTTGCAGGATCATGGGACTTAGTAAGTAGGGCTAACACGGTTTAGGGTGTAGGGGTTCAGGGTTTAGGGTACCCTAATTAATGACAAGTATAGTTGCCCGAATTATAACCCTAGTTACTAAGTTCCATGACAAGCCTAATCCCAAAGGCTCCATGTACCCGTACAGTAGCTACTTAGGCCTTAAAGTACCGATATAGGGAGCCCTTTAAGGCTTAAGTACTTAGTCTAAGAGTGCACGGCGTCTTCGGAAATCAACTTGGATCGCAGGGCTTCGACTGAGGTTTTTCTTTGCCAAACCAGGCAAGGTAGAGATTGAGGGGCAGCGTGTACCCAGACCTTCCAAAATCCCTTAACTAAGGCATATACCTTGAACTTGAACTATAGTAGGATCCCTAATATGATTTAAGGAATATTCCTTAAGTAGGGGAATTTGGAAGGTCTGGGCACTAATGCATCCAACAAGGGGGTACCCAAATCTCTTGCCATGTTATATTAATTAGTTAATTAGTTAGAACACGGGTTCTAGGTATGTTTTACGATTTTTTAAGGAGGGAGCCTTCAGGCAGTCAGGAATTATACATGCAATCACTTCTGCTTGCATAATATTCATTAGGGCCGTAGTAATCAGAATAGGGTCTTGGGGAAGAAAATACTATAGTCATAAAAAGGAACCTCCAAGAGTATATATGTATGTATATATATATATATAGGTAGTTATTAAAGCCCCAGAGACTATTGCTTTATGCAGCTTAAGAAAGCAAGACCGTCAGACCGACCGCCAGACCCTAGAACCCTAAACTCCTTTAGAGGGCTGAGGGTTTAGGGGTTTAGGGTTTAGGGGTTTAGGGTTTAGGGGTTTGGGGTTTAGGGGTTTGGGGTTTGTGGCGAAGCAAAGGTTCCTTGTAGGTGTCGTTTGAGTCTTCCTTGCAGGGATCTATAAGGGTTTGTTCACGTGGCTTTGGACTTGGGATATTCTGGTGTGGGGGGAGGCAGGGTGTAGAATACAGGGCAAGGAATTTCGAGGCTTACGGCGCACGGGGCTTACGAGCCCCAACCTGTGCAGTTATACCCCAAACTCTAAACCCCCAGCCCGTAAAACCCGAAGTCCTACATGCCTTACACCCCAGACCCAATGCCCTACACCCCTAAACCTCTCAGCGCAGACCCACTAGCCATGAATTCTCAACCTATATAAGCCCCATGAACCTCGAAACCAAAGCCCTACACCCGCAACCTCTACTTGGAGGTTCATGGGTAGTGAAAAGTGGGGGTATAAGTAGGATAAACATACTTATAACCCGTATTCGGGGACATACATTCCCACTGATAACTACCCATCGGCTCCATAGTAGATCCTTCTTGGGATTACGTGATAGGATTCTAACCATGCCAAAAGGAACTACTATGGAGCCGAGAACTACCCATGAACCTCCAAGTAGGCCCTAATCCCTATACCCTTATAGAATCCCTATAGATCCCTTTAAAGGGACCCTTACAACTACCCACAAGCCTCCCAGTACGCCCAATCTTGTCCAGTTGCGTGGATGCTGAGCTTCCGGAGCTGCCAAGGTGAAGGCATAGCCCCATCGGTCGGCATAAGCCTCTTCTTGGGCTTAAAAAGGTCTATAGGGTTCTTGAGTTTAGGGGTTTAGATAGTGATGTTGCATCTACTCAGGGCTTAAAGTAGTTTCTCTTTAGGGTCAATGTATACTCACATATAGATACAGGGACGCTTAGAGAGGATTTCTCTCATAGAGTATCGGCACTTAGGCCTTGAAGGGGTCATTATATGGTTACTTTAAGGCCTAAGTACCTACGATATGGGCAGATGGAGCCTTTCGGTATGGTTCTACACGGATCCCTCGGGGCTTGAATAAGGAGTCTTCTCAGCTTATTATATGGGTAGCTATCAAAATTAAGGTCCCTTTTTGGGTATCCGAAATGATGGGTGCCGTATTCTATTCAGGACCCAAAAAGCGACCCTAATTTGGACAACCACCCATATGGCTCTACATGTATCTTACAGTGTGTTATGTGCTTTTTCTAGGGGATAGTTCAAGAATCTTTTAGGGTTGTACTTGTTTGGGAACGCGTGTATAATGAAGGGTTCGTAACAGGCACCAACACGCTCAACCCCAAGGGCAGCAGCACGATACCCCTCCGTAATGCCCAGCAGCTTGTCACTTTATCTGCCTGTTGTGACTCTATAGGTCCGGTAGGGTATCACAGTTTAAGGCACCACAAAGGGCACAGCTGCGTCTACCCGGGACCCGGAACCCTTAAAATACCAGCGCTTTGCCTCAGCTATACCCTAAATTATAAGTTTTAAAGGATCCATGCAGCCTAAACCCTAAACATCGCTGAGCAAAATCCTACAGTACCGTTAAAGCCTCTTTCAAGACCTGATCTGAAACAAAATCAGAGCCTGTTCTTGACTTGCAGAAAGAAAAACCCTCCAATCTGGCGTTGGGTCTTACGAAGTTTCCCCAGTTATGCGCTCAGTTGGCTGCCTCCTGAATATCGCATGGCTGCAGGCGAATTTAGGGTTGCAGGGACTTGGGGATTTCGGATAGAATCGGCTACCTTGTTGATGACCGCGTTCATGGTCCAGTAGTTCTTCTTGTTGAAAGTATGTCCCAGCGGCTGCTTTTCCTCAGCAGGTTCACACACAAAAAGAGTCACATTGGATTGGGGTTTAGGGCTTAGCAATTGTGCCCTAGGGTTGGGGGATCCCAAGGCATGGAATGTGCCGAAAGTAACGATGCAATGTTGTTGCTGCTTGTGTGTATATATATATATATAATATGTGTATATATATATATATATATAATATGTATACATATATACGTACGTACGCTCTGCCTCTCTCTCTTTCTCTCTCTTTCTCTCTGCGTCTCTCTCTCTCTCTCTCTCTCTCTCTCTCGTTCGTGGCATGGCAAGCCAATGATTCCAAACCAGAACTCTCAAAGTTGGATTTCGGCAACTTTGGAAACACATTCTGGCGAGGGGGGGTGGGTTCTTGAACAAAGGGTCCCTGTTGAGTGGTCCAGTGATCTTGTTATTTGCTGAGGATGTGGTTTTGAGACTTGATATCTTTACTCGTTTCTTGATGTTTTGCGTATGCTTTCACACACACACACAAACTTATTTGTTGGGTTTTCTTTGCGTAACACCTGCTGCTGGGCTATATAGGAACCATGGTGACGAGACAAAAGCGGATACATACCCGAGCGTCCCACCAACTAGGATAGGTTATGCTCAGGATTTGGGGTAAGGGCGAAACGCAGAAACGGGTGGCGCAGATTCAGCTCGAACAAGACTTAATCTCCCGAATGTCGGCTACTACTGCAGTCTACGTCGTATCGTCAGCTGGCTGGAAACTATTTTGAATGATAGCTTCAGACACACACACATTCGGATCGTTTGGCATTTACGGCCAGTCTTACGGCATATGCATGCAAAGCATGGACATCATAAAGCAAAGCATGAACCTTTGGTCGCATCTACATAAGGGGCATGTCGTCTCTTTTCCATAGTGAGCCTAGATTACAGGCAGCACAAACTATGTCTTCCCGGCTAATGTAGGGACCTTAATCGTTAGAATGGGGTTTTGGGCTCCTGTATGGTATAGTTATAATAAGGAACCCTAAGGAATAAGATAGGTGGTTATTCAGGCTTCTATATTCAAAGGGGAAAAGGAGGGACCCTTAATGGGGACCCCTACCCTATAACGGGCTATATAATGGGTACACAATAGCTATATTAAGGGAATATACCTAGCGGTCCTGGTTAAGGGTCCCTCCTTTTACCCTTGGAATTATTAGAGTAAAAGCCAGAAAGTTGGAATATGATTATCCTAAACCCTTAATGGTAAAATATAGGGTATCCTACCCTGAAACCATACTCCAACTTATTATGCACGTCGAGAATGTGGCCAGGACTCGAGCATCGCAATCTCGAAGATGCAGCCTTGGAACCGATCGCCTGCCAGCTTACTTGGAGGGTCGGGAGCCTTTAAGGGATCTTTAAGGGTTCCTTTAAGGGATCCTTGGGGTCCCCTATTCGGGACTTTAGTAAGTAGGTAATAAGTAGAGTTATAAGTACCCTAAAAGGGATCCTAATTGGGGTTATGGTACTTAAAAGTCTCCAAAATAACTAGTTACTGAGTCCCCCGACCCTCCAAGTATCCGTTAGGTCGAAGTACGCACACGTATGCACTCAGGCCCCATAGAATAGGTACTACAAAGGAAGTGCATTGGAGCCAACATAGCTGTCCTGCTGCAGTGCTCGAAGTCCTATGTAAAATTTGGGATTTAGGACAACCCGAATCTGAAATCTCGAAGGCTAGTGTGAGGATCAGGTGAAATACCCAGATAGTGTAGTCACCGATTTCTTTACTAAACTTACTAAACAAACATCCAGAGTAAAGTCTGTAGGACATAAAACCCTAGTACTTGGGCACTTGGTCACTTTGGGGGCTACACTTTGATCTATCATAGGAACCCCTTTCAAGGCTAAGTACATTCTGTTCAGTGCACGGAAACTCAGCGTGTGTAAGGTGCGTCCAATCCCCATTGATCGTTCGGGCTTCGGGGTTTGAGGTTCCCCCAGAATGATCACCTCTTCGACACGATTAGGATTTAGGGTTTAGCTGGCGCCCCCCTTGCCCACAGCGACCCTCAACTAGGAAGCCACATTTCCCTTCACCCCCAAGGCCCAAAAAGTCAACCCTTCATGTTCCACTCCGCGTACCGAGAAATCACAAACTCCACTAAACTCCCAACTGCGGAGCACTCACGAACTCACCCAAACTCTCAACTGCAGTATCACAAGCCTTAATCCTCACTTTGGGCTGCACTCGATCCGATCGAAAACGCTAAGGCTGCAGCAATGACACCTTAAACCAGCATGCTAGAATTGAAGACTCTAGAACGCCAAGTCATCTCCTAGATTACACAGTCTACAATCAAAACACGACCGAGACAAGCAGCACAATCAAAGAAGCAAAACCCACACGGCTGCAACGGTCGAGACACGCTATAAGCAGAAAGAGCTATACCAACAAACGACACAACAAGTCAAATCCCGCAAGACTCTGCCCAAAGCAGAACACCAAGCGGAAGTCCATAAAGCCTCAAACAAGTCAACAAACGCCTGAAAGAACTCAATAATCCCCAGACCCTGGAGCCGGACGCTCCATCAAGCCGCAGCCAAAATGTAAGATAATACCTACCATGTGGCTAGCTCTCTAAGTTAGGGTCCCTTTCTAGGTCCCCAAAATGGTCCGGCACCCGTCTCAAAAGGAAACTAAAAGGGAGCCTAGTTGAGAAAGCTACCCATATACTTTATAAACATTACTTCACCCAGCAACAAAACCACCCCTTCTGCGAGGGCCCTAAACCCTAAACCCCTAAACCCTAAACTCTCCACGATGATGAGCACCCTACCGAAATTCTCAGAACTCACAAACACTGCCTGAAACAGAACCCCGGGGCCCTGGGCCTCACACTTGAATATAACCTCTAACCCAAACAAAGAACTCGGAAGCCCGAGTTTCAACCATAAAACCCGCCAGAAACAAACTGCACCCTAAACCTCAGATCGAACTCCCAAATCCAACAGAAAGGACACCCTGAACCCCAAAGACACACACCAAAGTATCCTTTAATGGAGCCCTTATCGCCCTTAACAGTGGGTATCTATAGGGCATATTAGAGGTTAGTTGGGGGGGGGGGGGGTCTATGTAAGCCATACACCGCTTTGCTTACATGCATATCCACTACCCTAAGGGTCCATGTACCCAAATAGCATATACTTTGGCCTTAAAGTAGTCCCTATATAGGTACTTTAGGGTCAACGTATAGTCATAACTTAGAAGGGGCCCCCCACCCTGTAATAGTGACTATACGGATTATATAGGATTTTATTAGGGCCCTATTATTCCTATTATACCACAATAACAGGGTGGGGGCAGCTTCTAAGTCATAACCCTTAGGGCTACTTAAAGGATCATGGGACGTAGTAACCAGGGTTATATTTAGGGTAACTAGACTTATAAGGACTTAAAACCCCCCAATTAGGGTACTTATAACCCTACTTACTAAGTCCCATGATCCCCTTATAGATCCCTTTAAGGAACCCCATTATAGAACCCTATAGTACCCCAAAAAGGAACCCTAAACCCTACTTACTAAGTCCCATGATCCTTTAAGTAAGACCCTGAGCCCCAACCTTTCGGCCTGTTGGCTTCACTTCGGTGCGGAGATCTAACCCATGGCTTCCCAGGGCCAACGCGGCGAGGAAGAGGATGGCCCTGGGTGTGCGGTGGGGGCTTGGGGTTGAGAGTACCTGGACCCCGAAAGTATGTAGAATCATGGCCTTTAGTAGGTTTTGGGCCATTATTTTGCCTACTTTTGGGGGTCTGGGTCGGCTTTAGGTTCAGGGTCGGGGAACTCAGTAAAGGACTTTAGTTATAGGGTTATAAGTAGCATACATATAATCTTCATTAGGATCCCTTTTGAGGTTACAGACACCTCTCCTTATGACCGACTTACTAAGTCCCCCAACCCTCCAAGTCGGGTTTAGGGCCGAGGGTCTTGAGGTTAGCGCCCATGGCGTCGTGGCTGAACTTATAGGAGTCTGTATCTGGGATGCTCAGTAACCTAGGGATAAACAGGGCTCCCTTTTGGTATTGGGTACCTCTACAAGGAACCTAGGACCACAAAAAGGAAATAAGGGTACTACTGGGCATCCGAGTAATCTATAGGAGTCTATAGGTGTTGGGCTTGCTGTTCAGTTCCTACGTAGAATTTCCAGGGGTCCTTCTGGAGGCCTTCTTCGGTTTGGCTTAGGGTTTACTTGGAGGGTCGGGGGACTTAGTAAGTAGACTTATAAGTCCCCTAAAAGGGACCCTAATTGGGGTTATGGTACTTATAAGTCCCCAAAAATAACCAGTTACTAAGTCCCCCGACCCTCCAAGTAGGGTTTAGGGCCGAGGGTCGTGAGGTTAGCGCCCATGGCGTCGTGGCTGAACTTATAGGAGTCTAGAGCTGGGATGCTCAGCAACCTAGGAATAAACAGGGCTCCTTTTTTTGGTATTGGGTACCTCTACAAGGAACCTAGGACCACAAAAAGGAAATAAGGGTACTACTGGGCATCCGAGTAATCTATAGGAGTCTATAGGTGTTGGGTTTGCTTTCAGTTCCTACGTAGAATTTCTAGGGGTCCTTCTGGAGGCCTTCTTCGGTTTGGCTTAGGGTTTACTTGGAGGGTCGGGGGACTTAGTAAGTAGACTTATAAGTCCCCTAAAAGGGACCCTAATTGGGGTTATGGTACTTATAAGTCCCCCAAAAATAACCAGTTACTAAGTCCCCCGACCCTCCAAGTAGGGTTTAGGGCCGAGGGTCTTGAGGTTAGCGCCCATGGCGTCGTGGCTGAACTTATAGGAGTCTGTATCTGGGATGCTCAGTAACCTAGGGATAAACAGGGCTCCCTTTTTTGGTATTGGGTACCTCTACAAGGAACCTAGGACCACAAAAAGGAAATAAGGGTACTACTGGGCATCCGAGTAATCTATAGGAGTCTATAGGTGTTGGGCTTGCTGTTCAGTTCCTACGTAGAATTTCCAGGGGTCCTTCTGGAGGCCTTCTTCGGTTTGGCTTAGGGTTTACTTGGAGGGTCGGGGGACTTAGTAAGTAGACTTATAAGTCCCCTAAAAGGGACCCTAATTGGGGTTATGGTACTTATAAGTCCCCAAAAATAACCAGTTACTAAGTCCCCCGACCCTCCAAGTAGGGTTTAGGGCCGAGGGTCGTGAGGTTAGCGCCCATGGCGTCGTGGCTGAACTTATAGGAGTCTAGAGCTGGGATGCTCAGCAACCTAGGAATAAACAGGGCTCCTTTTTTTGGTATTGGGTACCTCTACAAGGAACCTAGGACCACAAAAAGGAAATAAGGGTACTACTGGGCATCCGAGTAATCTATAGGAGTCTATAGGTGTTGGGTTTGCTTTTCAGTTCCTACGTAGAATTTCTAGGGGTCCTTCTGGAGGCCTTCTTCGGTTTGGCTTAGGGTTTACTTGGAGGGTCGGGGGACTTAGTAAGTAGACTTATAAGTCCCCTAAAAGGGACCCTAATTGGGGTTATGGTACTTATAAGTCCCCAAAAATAACCAGTTACTAAGTCCCCCGACCCTCCAAGTAGGGTTTGTAGGCCTTCACGAAAGAATTCATGGGTGTTGGAGGGCTCGACGAGGCATTGGGCTTGAGGGTGTTGGGGTTATGGCCAAGACTCCCAAAGGGTCCATATATACTACCATTGTCGAATTAGGTCCCAAAAGACCATCTTCATTGCGGTTTTTGGGACCTAGTTCCATAATGGTAGGGCAAAAAAGCCCCTCTTGGACTCTCACTTGCAATTCCTTTTGGGGGCGACCTTGTTTCTCTTGCAGTGAGATCTTCACCCAAAGCTTGGATAGCCGAAAGAAGGAAGAAGTTGGAGAGTGTAGGTACTCCCAAAGAAGGAAATAAACAGGAGAGTGTTGGTACTCCTTAAAAGAAGGAAGTGAATCGGAGAGTGCAGGTGCTTTAGGAACGCATATCGAGGTTAATTGTCCATAAACCCTGAACCCGACCCCCCTCAACCCATGCTCCCCTTATAGCTCGTGTAACCTCAATCCTACAGCCTAGAGGCTCAGTAACTGGCGCGAGTTCTGCCTTAGGTTGGAGGGACTGAAGGTTGAAACTGTCGGGACTATGATCCGAATCGTGGGATACATGGGAACCGGATTCAGAAACCTTGGGTCTTGAATAATTGGGGTTCTATATATGAATCCTGCTACTTTGGGGTTACAGGGCAAGGGTTTCTTAATCGGGCTCCTACATTAGGGCTCAGAGTTCCAATCCTGACCATAACCCTGAACACTAATTTGGGTTTTCCCTAACCCTATGGCTCCATGTACGTTTATAGTAGATACTTAGGCCTTAAAGGTCCCTATATAGGTACTTTAAGGTCAAAGTATATACTATATGGGTACATGGAGCCTTAGGGTAAGCCCCAAACCCTAAACATGGGGGCTTAGCGTTTGGTGCTTTTCCCCAAACCCTAGCCTCAAGCCACACCCCATGGTGCAAGCGAGATGCTGCCGCATCTTCGTTGATTCTTAACGCGAGGTCTGGCGCCTTTGCACCTTAGCTCGCTATGCAAGATTTGCGGGGTCCAGAGGGCCCAATTATTGGGTACCTGGGTTTAGGATTACTGTAGCTTAGTACTAGTATTTGAGTATTATTTGGGGAGTATATGCTTGTTCGGTAGTTGGAGCCTGAGAAGCTTCATGTTTCGGGATTTGAGACATTAGGACCCAGGGTTTTCAATCTTCGGGGCTGCTCTTCAACACACAAGCCATTCAGATTCAGAATTACTGTTCCCGAAGGCTCCATGTACCTTTATAGTAGATATTTAGGCCTTAACGGGGTCCCTATATAGGTACTTTAGGGTCAAAGTCTATACTATATGGGTACATGGAGCCTTAGGGGTTATGAGATCCCTATATTAAAGGGTCTTCTAAAGTAACGTGTGCAGGCAAAGTCCAAGGCAAGTGGCGCAGGTTCTGGAAACCAAAAATCTCGACGACTCTGTCTCTGCAATAGCAAAAACACCCGAAAGTCGGTACTGGTGATAGACTTGAGCTCCCAATGAAATACTTTGGGTATGGTGGTTCAGGACAAGACTCCAGTTGGTCTAAGGAGTTCGTGTGTTGTAGGCGTTTCTAGATCTACTAGGATGCCAGTAACCTAGGAATAAAAAGGGCTCCCTTTTTGGTATTGGTTAACTTTTTTTTAGGAACCTAGGACTAGGAAAGGGAGGGACCCTTAATGGGGACCCCTACCCTATAACGGGCTATATAATGGGTATATAATAGCTAGATTAAGGGTATATACCTAGGGGTCCTTATTAAGGGTCCCTCCTTTTACCCTTGGAAGTAAGGTTCGGGGGCCCGTTTTCTAGAGGGGATTACCTTACAGGATTCTATATATGAACCCCAAAAGGAACTAGCATGGAGCCTCTGGGTATGCCATAATTATAGTAAGGAGCCGCCCAAAAGAGTATAGGTAACCATTTCAGCCCATATGGGAGTTTCCGAAAATAGGGGACCCTGATATGGTACCCTAAATAATAGGATCCTTATCATAAGGACCCCCAAATAAGGTACCCCTATTTTCGGAAACACCCATATAGTACCAAAAACAGCCCATGCCCCCAACCTGTAAGCCCAAACTTTCGGCGGTCACAAAAAAGACAGGAACCCAAACAGATCAATACTGTTGATGGACAAAATCCTGCATGACCCTAGGGACTGTTTTTGGTTTAGGGTGTAGGGTTTAGGGTCTTAGGAGTTTAGGGTTTAGGGTTGATGATATAAATCCTGCATGACCCTAAGGACTCTAAACTATGGGAGCTATGGTATATTCCTTATAATTAATGGGTAATGCAGGATTTTGTCCATGAGCAGTAACACCAAAGCGTCGGGGCTTTCTGCTTTAGGGCTGCCCCTGTAATTCTCATACCCGCTTCAAACCTTAAACCCCTGAAAAACCCAAAGCCATAAATCCCCCCCTTAACCCTAAACCCTCCTAAACCCTAAATACCTCTAAGTTATTACACCCTACCCAAACCCTAAATCCCCTTCTAAACCCTTAAACCGAGCCCTTAATCCCGTTGCGGGCCCTAAACCCTAAACCTGTCTAAACCCTAAACCGCTATTGTGGGCAAGTGGCCCTTCGACCCGCGTGCAACGTCGCGGGGGAGGGCGGGGTGCACTGGCGCAGCCCCTTTCAGCCCAAACGGCCGCGGTCAGCACTTAGGGCTTTAGGGTTTAAGACTTTAGGTTGAGGGTTCAGGGTTCAGGGTGTAGGATTTAGAGTCCTGGCAGAAGTCGGAGAGATAAATCCTTTGCAACCCACAGGCAAAAAACGTCGGTCCGCATACCTTCAAAACCTCAACCCTGAATGCTTCGGAATCCAACACCCATACAGCATATGCCTTGACACTGAAATCCATGTATTATTACACTACGAAGGACGACAAGCCGAGAAATAATATGCACAAAAGGGTGGTATAGGGAGTTTTGAGGAAGCGGAGTCATCCCCAAACCCTAAACGCCTTTTTTGGGGAAGCGGAAAACCCTAAACCCTAAACCCCTCAAACCTTGAACCCAAAGCCCCTCAAACCCTCAAACACCTTAAACCTGCAACCAACCCTAAACCCTAAACCGTACTTCTTTGTAGGCCCAGATCAAGGGTTCTCTTGTTGCAACCTCTGTTTGCTTGCTCGGCAGCTGCATTATGACCCTTCTTTAGAAAGCCTATACCTCCATGTAGTCATATGATATATATATATATATATAGAGATATAGATATTATACAGAGTATAAAGTAATCCTTCCCTCTTGCAGAACAGAAAACAAAAACACAAACAACAACCACAGACCGTAAACACTGAAAGCCGACACCCACAGCCAAAACCCAACCCCCTACACCCTTTCTAAAAGCCCCAAACTCTAGACCCAGGAGTAACCTAGGAATAAAAAGGGTGCCTTTTTTGGTTTAAAGGGGCTTATAAATAAGGGAACCTGAACCCTTAAAAAGGGAATAAGGGCCTACTCTAGGTCCTAGAACTCCAGGCCACAGCCTCCTCCAAGACGCCATTAGAGTTAAGGTCGTGCAGTCGGAAGAGCTCCTACGGCGAAGCTTTGCAGGTTACCTATAGGCTCATACCCTACCCCTTTTTTAGGGTACCTACTTCTCTACATAGGCGAACCTAACCATAAAACCAGGTACCTCCAAAAAGGGGTAGGGAGTGACCCTCTAGGTACTTGGAGGGTCGCGGGACTTAGTAAGTAGGCAAGAAGTAGACTTAGAAGTGCCCGAAAAGGGACCCTAATTCGGGTCATGACAACTACAAGTCTAGAGGGTTCAAGGTTTACGGCTCCGGGGTTTAGGAATGTGACGGAGGGCCCAAAGGCCGCAAATTGCTAACCTCACGCTTCGCCGGTCGCTAGCTGGAGTTTTGCTCTACCTAGAGGCTCCATAGTAGTTCCTTTTCGGGCTCATGTTTAGAATCCGATAATGCAACCCCAAAAAAGAACTGCTATGGAGCCTATGGGTAGATTCCTGTGTGCTTCGTCATGCTGCGTCCTCTGGGTTGAGCCTTCAAGGGCTCAGGGCAGGTCAATGTTCTAGGTGCTTGTTCAACTAGGAGGCGCTTTCAAAGCAGTTGAAAAGTGTTTGTAGGTAAGATCCTCTTATGCCCAATAAGAGCAAATATGAAATATATCCCAAAGCCCTACCTAGTTCAAGGGTTTATAGGGCTTATAAGGGCAGGTTAAGGCTTAGCGGCGTCTGTTAAGGCCTTGCGGCTTCCTCCGGCTTTCTGAGCACTCTGGTATCCGCAACGTACTGGAAATCGGAGATGTCCCGCACATGCTGGAGAATCTTGGACTCCATGTTCCAATGGATGCGTTGGCAAGCCATGCTCCTTAAATACTTGGACCGTTGTAGGGTAGGGTCCTGAACTCTTAACACGAACCACTGGTAATCTGAACACACCTCAACAGGAGGACCCGATAAAGCAGCACTAGATTAAGATTTATGCGTCTACTAAAGGGAGCCCGGAGGAAAAAGGTGGAAAGTGTCCTCACGTCCATAGGTTATATACTTAGTTGCTGAGCTCATAGGCCCCAAAACGTCTACACTTTCAGTTTTATAGTGGGTAGTAGTATCCCAAAAAGTGTCAAGTGTATCCACTCAGCTACTACTAAGTACATACTCTTCCTCTGCTGTAGTACCCTAAGACTCCATGTGCCCTTATAGAAGGTACTTAGGCCTTAAAGGGGTCCCTATATGGATACTTGAAGGCTTAAGTACCTACTATATGGCTACATGCAGCCTTTGGGTGTGGCCATAGGCGTCTGGAGAACATCGGCTCCATAGTAGTTCCTTTTTGGGATTACCTGATAGGATGCTAAATATGAACCACAAAAAGGAACTATTATGGAGCCTCTAGGTATAACGTAGTATCCAAACACCCCAGGCTTCTGGACGCTACCTGCATCATCTCCTCAGATCGCTCTGAGCGAATGCCTTGCCCCAGGTGGGAACCGGCGTGGGTGTCAGGGTTTAGGGTTTAGGATTTAGGGTTTAGGGCTTTTTTAAGTGCAATGACTCCTTGTCTACTCTGCACGCAGAGAACGTCTCGAGCCCGCCACGGGGTAAAGGGGTTTAGGGTTTAGGCTTTCGGGGTTTAGGTTTAGGGTTTTAGGGTTTAGGATTTAGGGCTTAGGGTTTAGAAGATGTCAGGGTTTACAGCTTGGGGCTTAGACTTCAAGGGCTTCGCGTCCCTGCGGGTTTGGGGTTTGGAGGCTTTAGGCTGAGGAGGTGAGGGCTTTCTCTTCTTTTCGTTTTGAAGTTGGGGCTTGGGTGTATGTGTGTGTGTGTGTGTTTGCGTGTTTGTGTGTATTATATATATATATATATACATACATACATACGTTGGCTTCTTGGTTGTGAGGTTTAAAATACTAATGCAGCATAACGAAGCTGTTGAGATCAACCCTACCCTACTCTTCCAACTCTAAACACAACAAACCAGGCGTAAATCTGCTGGATAAGTATCTCATAGGTTTTCGGTTTTAAACCACTTGAGACCGATCCCACTCTCATAACCTTAAAGCTACGAACCTGGCTAGAACAGGCTGTATGAGGTTTGTATAGAGTTCACGGGTCTGCGAAAGTTACTGAATGATTGAAACCAAAACTATCCTGGCCGCCGTGATTCTTTCTCCGACTCCCAGAGAGCCCAATACCCCTTAATTAAGGAATAGAGCTTACATCATAATATGAAGCCCTATATAATTTAAACCATATTCCTTATCTAAGGGGTATTGGGCTCTCTGGGCTCCTCCTGCACACCATGTAAAACCTCCAGGCCTAAACTCTGTACGTGCGAAACCCTCATTACGCTCCACACTCCTCTCCTCACCCGGAACCCTACACCCTGAACCTCTTGGAGGGTCGGGCGACTTAGTAAGCGTATGATAAGTAGACTTATAGGTACCCTGAAAGGGATCCTAATTGGGGTTATGGTACTTAT